TACTAGATGTACAATAAATGCTTATTAAACTCTTTGTTTAAAATTTGCAATAGTGCTGCTGGATTTAATTTAGTTTCTTTTTCTTTTTTTTTTTTAAAGATTTATTTATTTATTCATACGAACACTGGGTACAGTCAGAAGCGCAGGAGGGTGAGAGGATTCACCAGAGCCAGAGCAGGGAGCAGAGCAGGCAGACTGATGAAGGACACTGCTGAGGGGAGCAGCGGGCAGCAGGAGAGGCCTGCGCGCCATGCGGGACCCTCCTCCGGTGGCCAGGGAGCAGCCGGGGATCGAACCGGCGCCGCAGAGGCTGCGGGCAGCGTCGCAACCCAGCGCTCAACCGCTGCACCACCGGGGAGGCCCTAATTTAGTTTCTTGAATGTGGGAAAAGACAGGTGCTCAGTGATCCATTAAAACCTAACAAAATCACTCATAACTTCCCACCTTTTAGAAGGATGTGTCAATTTTAAGTAAATCTCTACAATTGCAAAGAAATGTTAAATTAAGCAACTAGTTAAAATCATGGACTGTTTAGAAAGTAAAAGTTACTTTGACAGGGCACTGTACAATCTCTGTAATCTTGGTGTCATGTAAGAGTCTTAGTGGACCTAACATTTGCAAAGACTTTTTGGTATAAAAGAGTATTTAGATTTCAGTAGTTACAAGAAGGAAAAAAATTTTTGTTCTAGAAATTTCTTTCAGTAGTTTAAAGAGGCTGCACTCTTTCAAGATACATTTTATTATCTAGTACTAGAGGAATAAGTAAGCCTGAAGTCACAACTGGGGTGGGGAAAGGTAGTCACAGGTGGGGAGGTGTGCTCTGAAGTAATAAATAGGACGAGGGGATTGTGAGTGCCTGGGTGGAGCGAAATCTGACCTGGTCTTTCTGTGGAACTAACAGTTAAGCACAGACCTAAAGAAAAAAAGCAAGGAGAGCGGGAGGAGCAGGTCCAGATGAGCGGTGTAAAGCCCCTTAGGCAGCCCAGAGTGGTATTTCAGGTGTTTCAAGGATCCGCAGGTAACCAGTGAGGTGGCAACTTAGCAAATCAGGATGAAAATGAAATAAGATGAGGCTTGGAGGAAAGGAGATGTCAGATGATGCAGCACCTAGAGACACAGCCAGGGGCTTAAATGTCCCTGCAGGGGTAAAGGGAGAACCCAGCATTCGTGCTTAGTGACCTCCTCTACTGAAAGGAAATTAAGGATCCTGAGTATTCCCTGTGGCAGTTATCCAGGCACTAACCCCAGTGGGCAGAATCAGAGTCGAGCTTCAGAACTGAAATGGAGAGGAAATTTGTCCTTAATGCTTTGAAATTCTCACATCCCCAGTTTCTGCACCTTCATGTTAAGCCTACTGGTCTACCTACTAAAACCAATCAGTTCATAAAACCCACCTATATTAGTCATGAAGAATCATCCAGAATCCTCGCTGCTTGCTCACACTTTATCCATCTACTCCACGTCTTATCCTGACTGTCTCTCTGGAGGGGCTCAGTGTGGGTACTAGCTTTGATAGCAGGTCTTCTAAACTGTTCTACCTGGTCATGTCTCCTGTCAGTCTCTTCTGATGAGAGGCTCTACTGTGGGGACCTATAAATTGCCCTATTAAAAGGATATCATTTTAGGGCCTCCCCGGTGGTAAAGCGGTTGAGCACTGGGTTGCGAAGCTGCCCGCAGCCTCTGCAGTGCTGGTTCGATCCCCGGCTGCTCCCCGGCTACCGGAGGAGGGTCCCACATGGCGCACAGACCTCTCCTGCCACCCACTGCTCCCCTCAGCAGTGTACTTCGGTCCTTCTGCCTGCTCTGCTCCCCGCGCTGGCTCTGGTGAATTCTCTCACCCTCCCGTGCTTCTGACTGTACCCAGTGCATGTATAAATAAATAAATCTTTTTAAAAAATAAATAAATAAAAATAAAAGGATATCATTTTAGAAATTGCAGATGCCTTTAACTATACGGTATGTATACCTCAAGCTGCACTGACTCCAGATGGGGGTCCCCTCTCCTGTGCATAGCGAAAATGTTCCATTGTCCTGGATAACAACCTCCTAAGTCAGTATCTTCCTATCCATCGAAGGGTCACCAGTCAAAGTCAAAGGCTTGCATTCCTTCCAGGTCTTGAAGAGAAAACAACTCAGAAAGGCCAGAAAAGGAATCCCTTTCCCACTCTGACCCTTCTCTTACATTCATAGGAAACTGCAGGATAAAAAGCTGTCCTCTCTGGAGCAGTGCCGGGACTCAGGTGTGGACCTATATGTGGTGACAGATACCGTGGAGCTGTGCGACAGTTCTGAGCTGATCGCGGGAAGCTGGGACAGTGTTTCGGGAGACATGTCCATTTTCTGCAATGCTTCAGTCAAGGTATGCTGGTGGGGACACCAACAGCACAGCCACCCAAGCAACCCAGCCTCCCTTCTAGGGGCCGGGTCCTAACCAGGATCTGGTCCCAAGGGGTCAGGAAGGGGATGGGGTCATTGCTCACCTGAGACTGTATTTAAACACCCTTGTTTACAAAGCTGCTCTTCAACATTGGTAACAATAGGAAATAGATTTAATTATGTGGTATGATGACATTTTGCTTTGGAGTAAGAGTTTAAAGATTCCAAGGGTGAGGCTGACAAGTCCAACCTCATGATGGTCCTATCACTGGGACCAAGCACTGGTGGCTAATGTGCCCTAAATGCTGTGATATCCTAAACAGAGATGTTTAATGGAGTGAGATTTAAATATCTTCAAGCACATGTGATTTATACAAGATACAATAACCAACAGTAATATTTTAAATTGGGCCTCCCCGGTGGCGCAGCGGTTGAGCGCTGGGTTGGGAAGCTGCCCGTGGCCTCTGCAGCGCTGGGTCGATCCCCGGCTGCTCCCCGGCCACCGGAGGAGGGTCCCACATGGCGCGCAGACCTCTCCTGCCGCCCGCTGCTCCCCTCAGCAGTGTCCTTCGGTCCTTCTGCCTGCTCTGCTCCCCGCTCTGGCTCTGGTGAATTCTCTCACCCTCCCGCGCTTCTGACTGTACCCACTGCTTAAATAAATAAATAAATAAATAAATAAATCTTAAAAAAAATATTTTAAATTAAGCAAATAATTTATCAAATATGTATTTGGCATCAAGTATGTGCTATGAATATACATTTTTGCGTGTGTGATGTATTATATAACACTTATACAGTATAATATTTTTTATTGATATAATATTGGTTTACGTGGTTGATGCTATTTGGGAAGTACACCCGCCCCCACCTTCAGTTGAAGTTATCTTAGGGCACCTGCCACCCAAGCACCCACTGTCCACCACCAGAGTCCACTGTGCTGCCTCCCCACTCTGTTCTTTCCCCTCCCCCTCACCCCTGGGGCCTCTTTTCTATAGTCAGCTTTCAAAGGTTGTTTTTAAAACTTGCCTTTATCTGACCCTTTGTTTGGTCTCTCTATATTCCTCACATAAGTGGCACCATCCAGTATTTGTCTTTTTTTCCTTCTGACATTTCACTTAGCACAGTCCCTTCCATTTCTATCCATGTTGCCACAACTGGCATGGGTTTATCTGTGTTGACTGCTTGGCAGTGTTTCACTGTGCATAAACGCCACATCTTCTTGAGCCACTTATCTGTTTGAGGCACTAAGGTTGTTTCCCATAGGGTGGCTATTGTAAACAGTGCTGCAATAAACATGGAAGTGCAGGTTTCCTTTCAAATTAATGTTCTTGTATTCTTTGGTCGATACCTAGATGTGGAATTACTGAGTCATATGACAGACCATGATAAAGACAACAGAATGCTCGGGGACATTTCAGAATGGTTACTTTTCCCTTCCACTGCCTAAAGCATGAAGGGACTTTTCTCTGGTATTCACTGTGAGCACCTGGTAGAGCTCCTCAGGATAAAACACACAAAAATGCCATCCCTTTGATAGGGTTTTCTCTGGAGAGAAAAATGGTCACACTGGTCCACACTGAGCCTCCAACAATTCATCAATTTCACCTCAAGGTTTCCTGCCCTGGCACTTGCTCCTGTGTAGGATTTTGCTCTGACAAATTGTGACGTTCCTGCCTTTTCCTCCCTTCAATTTTCAAGGCAATGGCATCACTTTTCTGATAGATCTAAGGAGACTTGATTTTTCAGTTTCTTCACCTTTTTACTTATTCTTATGATGGAACAACAACTTCCAAATTCCTTACATGTCAGACAGGAAACTAAATTTTTTTTAGTTGTTACAATAAGAAAAGTCAGAAAATAAAATCCTGGAAATTTCCAAAATAGAGTGAGCAAAAGAAAGGAGAATATAAAAATATTAAAACTTCTGAATAATAGGAGCTCCAGAAAAGAAAACAGAGAAGCAATGCTATGGAGAAATATATTAAAGAAATAATCGAGAAAAATTCTAAGAAATTTCCTGGTATGTTTCCAGAATGGAAGAACCAATTGAAGGAATAGTTTAGTAAGAAACTATAGACCCATAACAAACAAGGAATGTAACCATGCAAAAAATGGATACCCCAAACTACTAGGGATGCACATTCTAAAAATGGTCTGGCCAACTGCAAGCACAAAGGCCAAGAAAGCATACCCTGAATGTGAAAGATTTTTATTTTCTGTGCAACGAGAGAAAGAGAGAGAGAAGAAGACAGGATATTCCTAATGAAAATCCAAAATTACTGTCCTCTCATGAGCAAATGCCCAGACAAACAGGTTCAGTCCAAAGCAGGGAAAGTGAGGCCTGAAGTTTGCCACAAATCTAAGGCATCTCTTGGTGCAGAACCACAGGAGAGAGTTAGGAGATTCCAGAGAGCTGGGACAGAAGGAGAGACCCAAAATTCTAAATGTACCATATACTCCACCATGAAGTCAAGATAATGGATGCCACTGTCCCCTCCAAGGACCAGGAGAGCCTCTCCACATGTCTCTTAGCTGTGTTTCCCTTCCCATGTGTCTCTGCCCTAATGGTCTTTCCTCTCTCCTTCACGCACCTCAGTTCATATATCCACCATTCTGCCTCCTACCTGCCCCCATTCAGGAAGTCCAGTTAACGGCATGCTGGGATTTGTAGTCCTGGGCTCCTCCTCACCGCAGAGATGGGGGTGGCATCTGTAAAGGCATCAGGGGGTGGAGTTAGTTCAGGACATCATTCTCTGCCTCAGACTTTGCTCATTACTTTTCCTCTAACAAGAGCATAAGCATGAAATTCTAGGGCAGTAGCCTCAGAAAGAAATCATAAATATTTATAAAAAGGAAAACAGGGCCTCCCCTGGTGGCGCGGAGGGTTGAGCACAGTGCTGCGAATCTGTCCTCAGCCTCTGCAGCGGGTTCAATTCCTGGCTGGCTAGGGAGATTCCCACATGGCGTGGCAGACCTCTGCTGTCTTGCCCCCTGTTCCCCTCCCCAGTGTATTTCGGTCATCTGCCTGTTCTGCTCCCCGCTCTGTCTCTGGTGACTCCTCTCATCCTCCCGCACCTCTGGCCTGTACCCCAGCTCCTGTGTAAAAATAAATAAATCTTAAAAAAAAAAAGGAAAACAATTTACAGCGCAAGGATTATACTCTAAGTTCTTTGCCAAGTTAATTATCAACAAAGCATGGAAGCAGTGCCCCCAATACCGAGCAGTGAGTTTTAGCTTAGACACTGGATATGACCATTTTAAGACAGGAGACGTAGGAAGGGGTGGAGGAGAGTTGGAAAAGAAAATCCTCATCATCAAAAGGAGAAATCAACTACAAATAGTTCAATATAAAAAAGTTATTGTAGGGCTTCCCCTGGTGGCGCAGCGGTTGAGCGCTGGGTTGCGAAGCTGCCCCACAGCCTCTGCAGCACCGGTTGGATCCCCGGCTGCTCCCCGGCCACCGGAGAAGGGTCCCGCATGGCACACAGACCTCTCCTGCCGCCCGCTGCTCCCCTCAGCAGTGTCCTTTGGTCCTTCTGCCTGCTCTGCTCCCCGCTCTGGCTCTGGAGAATTCTCTCACCCTCCCGCGCTTCTGACTGTACCCAGTGCTTGTATAAACAAAACAAACAAACAAACAAATAAATCATAAATAAATAAAAATACATGCCTCTTAAAAAAAAAGTTATTGTACTATAAACTTAAAATTAGGAATATAAAGGTATGTATGGGGTGAAACAAGGAAAACTGGAAATCAGGAGCAGGACTGGGGAGGGCAAAAAACTATTGAATTGTTGGCTCATGAGCTTCTCAGATCTATCTGGCTTTTTTAATCATGTGACTACATGACCATGCTCCTTGCTTCTCTCCCCAGGGCAGCGTGCAGGGAGAGTATGGCTTAATGAGAAAGAAGAAAATAAGTGTGCAGAAGGGCATGGTGGTGGCCTACAAGAAGAAAAAGCTGATTTTCAGGGACAAAGGCTGGGGTAAGCAGAGGCTGAGAAAGGCAGATGGGGCGAGGGGTCTGCTTGTCTTGTAAGCAGCATGAGAAGGAAAGCCCATCCGCGCAGTCCTCCGCGGCTCTGCCTGTTAATGGAAAAAGAGAAACACATTTCTCAGCTGCCAGGGGGCACACCCATCCCACCACCCACAGTCCCCTCCAAGAAAGGCCCAAGGGAAATTTGCAACACAGAGATAGACAGTCTCTTACACAGACAGAAGGGTGACCGCACGGAGGTGTCCTCAGCGCCGGGCAGAGCGTGGTGCTAGCCCACCCTCTCTCTCCCCTCTAGTTCCAGCCACTCCCCACAGCTCACCTGCAGGCCGGTGGGTGGGGGCAGAGCCCTCCCCAGGTGAGTCACAGCCCCAGGTTCAAGCCCTTAAGACATTAGCACAATCACAAGCAACAGGAAGGAGGTGCGGCCCTCCCAACACAGGGCAGATGTCCTCTGCACCTCTCCCCACTCAGCTGCGGAAGGCACAGTCTCCCGCACTCACGCTCCCTGCCCAGATCCACTCGGACAAACCGGGCAAACCGTTTGCATCAAACAGCAACTACCTACTGGGGGAAACACTGGCCCTGGGAATGCGGCAGCTCGGAGTGCTGGGCCTCTCCCTTCCCAGATGTTGAGTTGCATGTAGAGCTCAGCCTGATACACATGGGGACTAGCTCCTTAGAGATGAGGGGATGCCCTCACCTCACTTCAACACAAACACACACACACACACACCACACACACACACAAATCAGACCCTCTCTCTCCCCTCCTGTCCTTACCTCCTCTCCTCTACTTCTCACTGGCATCCTGCCCGCTATAGCATCCTCTTTGCAACATCTGGTCAAGGCACTGTCCTGGCACTGCTGACCTCCTGCAAGTGGCAATAGACAGTGAACAGTTCAATTCTCCAGTCTCAGAGGTCGGTGGACTTTGCTGTGGGGAACTCCAGCCTTGCCCCAAACTGCCCTGTAATGACAGCAGGAACAAGGAAACCTAATTCACTCTTCAGAGTGGCCAAGGACTCCGGCGGAGAGGACCAGGAGACAGTGCTGCTGAGCACGCGATGTATTTAGAGCTGGAGGGAAAGACACGTCTGTTTCCTAGTGCTGGCAAGTGTGATCTGAATACAGCGAGACTGAAAGCCTCAGAGCAGCACCTGCCAGTCATGTCGTGGCCACGAGGGGGCGGTGGAGCTTTCTCGTTGTTTAAGCCACTGGCTCCTAGGGGTGCAGGGGAGGGAGCTTGACCTGGGCCCGCGCAGAGGACACTGAACTTGCACGAAGTAGTTAATGCTCAGAACAAACCTGAAAGGAAAGGCATGTGCAGAGCAGATCAAGACTTTGCCATAGACTCGCCGAGCAACTGCAGAGAAAATCAAAAGCCTCTGTCACCCACCTTATTTGCAAACGAGAGTGAGAAACCTTTTCAGTGTTGAGTGAGTTAGAGGGAGTGTCTGGCAGAGGGACTGGCACAGAGTGGTCTCCACCCCCAGCCACCTGTGGCCTCCCCAGGACTGGCCTCTGGCTCAGGGCCCTGCCTTCCCACAGCCCCTCACCCAAGGGCCCTGCCATTACCCCTACGCCCACCCTCTCCCCTCAGGGCCAAGTCCTTAAAGAATCTCCACACTCTGTGTCCTCCCCTCCCGGCCTCCCTGCCTCCACCCGCTGCAGTTCACCCCAGTGAGTTCACACCCCCCAGTCACTAGTGCACTCACTGGAACTCGCGTCTCCTGGATAACAGGACACTAGGGCCTGTGAGCACTTCATCTGTAGGACTGTTTCAATTCTGTTTCCTTCATGGGTTCTCTTCCCCTGTCAAACAATCCTGTTGTTACAAAAGTTTACGATTGATTTTAGCACATTTCTCACTGGAAATATGAAGCCACCCGGGAAGCTGGCAGGGTCCAGAGAGGACAGGAGGGAGGAGACAGGTCAGAGAGACCCGGCAGAGGGGACAGCCCTGCAGGCCTCTCTCCCACAGGCAGGTCTCTGGTGGAGCGAGTGGCACCCGTGGGTGCAGATCTCAGCATCAGACCCAGAAGGTCCAGAGAGAGGTCAGGGGCTCTGAGTTGTCACAAGCACCCCAGTGTCTCTGATCAGGGGCCCCCAGGTGCCCCCTGAGAAGAGCTGCCATGCTGCCTGCAGGAGCAGGGCTGGGCTGTGGGTGGAGGTGGGGGTGGGGAAGCCTCCAGCAGGGTGACCTGGCTCTCCTGACCTGGCTTCTTCCTATCCAGACATTCTTCTCTTTGAAGATGATAAAAAGAAGAAAACCTTTGAAGATGGTGAGTTCCTGATCTGGGCAGGTTCTCTGCCTAGACCTCAGGCCCCACTGAATGCTGGCCCTGTTTGGATCCTGCTAAGAACTCAGCTCCCTTCCATGAGAAAACCTCCCTCCTAACTCCCCTGCTTTTTACCAGCTACATGATCTTGGGACCACAGAGAAATAAACCTTTCTCCCATGATACTGCCATAGGGGTGTGTGTGTATGTGTGTGCACACGCGCACACACGTGTGCGTGCACGAGCATGTGTGTGCATGGTGGAGGGGCAGAGGAGACTAACTCTTGGTGAGTGCGCTTGTGTTTATCTTTCCAGAGATTGGTCAGTCGCGGGTAATGTTTGGTGAGTTGATGCTTTTTGAGCCTGCAAAGCAGGGTCTGATCTCTCCACCACAGCACACCCCCCACCATGCTTGCCCTGATGCCCCCACCCAACCCCAAAGCACTGGGAAATCCCCCTGGGGTGGGAACAGAAGGAGAAGAAGGGGCAAAAGGGCAGAGAAACCATGTGTCTTCAGAAACTAACTCTTGGGTGGGGGATTTAATTTTTCTTCTAGAATCTGGAGAAGATTCCATCCCTCCAATAGGTGAGTGTGCCTTTGAAGAGACTGGGAGTGGGAAGATGCCTCTGTCTTTGACACCACTTCCTTGGGGCCTGGCCCTGGTTTCTGGAGGCTGGGAAGGGTGGTGACGGCAGAGGGCATGGAGGGGTGGGTCTGATGGGGCAGGAAGAGGTGCTGCGGGAGGGAGGCGTGGTAGGAGGGAGCACGGACCCTCCACAGTGTCTCAAGAGCAAATTTGAGGATGAGGAAAGACATGATGGCTTGTGATTCTCTCTCCAGGAAGCATAGAGGAACCCTTTGGGCAAGGTGAGTGTTTAGCAAGAGGGAACCTGGGCTTCTGGGTGGAAACTGACAGGCTGACACCCCGGAGCTTCCCTGCCACTCGGACACTGAGCTCTATTGTCATGTAATGAACATTTGCTGGAAAGCAGGCACCATTCTGAACACTTGGGGCTCTTGGGCATACAGCCATGAACCCAGCAAACAGAAATGCCACCTCTTTGGAGTTTCCTCTCACGTGACCTCTCACCTCAGCAGAACTTGAGGGCCCCTGCAGCCCCCTGGGTTAATTATTTATACACCCTGAAGACACAGACACTATTTTGTGATGAGAAGAGTAGCTCAAGTGTGCCAGGCACTGTGGCTCACACGTTACACACGTGACCTCATGTGATTGTGCAGAGGCCTCATTTCAGACGTGGGGTCCAGAGTTTCTCAGGCCCTTGCCTTCAGAGCTCAAGGCCGATCACCCCAGATATGTCGCAGAATAAGCCCCGGCATATTTTCTGCCACCTCCCAAGACCCCTTTAAGAATCTCCGTCCTGCTCCCAGCACCTACCCCCACACCCACGTTAGCTGGGATTATCTATCCTGCTCCCCTGTTTTGACAGCTCTGTCCCTCAAAAATGCCATTCATGGAGTTTTTTTTATTATCGATGGGAAATGCCTTACTATCCCAGGAATGTTCTAATGTAAGAATTGCTTCCATTCCCTGGTTGACACTATTGCCTGCGGGCAGATTTCAAGTCTCTACAAAAAGAGGTTTCCCAGAAAGTGGAAGATGTGGACGGGCTTTCGAGAAGCCTTCGGGACACCGTGTTGAATAATATCCAGGCCATGTTCGGGGATCATGAAGCCCTGCAGGAGCTCGGGAACATGGTGAGACTGATCAAACCGGATGAGAGGGAACGTGGCTGTGAGGACATATAGGGGGGAGGGGGGACTAGCCACAGGGGACACTGAAGGACGTTTATACTGGGCACTTGTTACCCTGCACCAACACCAGGGCAGGGGGTGCACCCAAGCACCAGGGAGCTGTAGTGAGCCCGTCTCCGCCCCTTGGATAATCACTTATAGACACAAAATAGGGAGACCAAATGACATGATAATACCATCGTCATCATCATAGCATCAGCAATAATACCCGTATCCTCCAGCTTGAAGAGGAGCCCTTGGGTTACTTGGATGGCCCTGGTGGTGCCATCCTAAATGAACTTCGAAAAGACTCAGAAGTTTCATGGGTTAACCCAAAGCACTTCATCAGTTACCTGCTGGAAGCCATACTCGGTAAGAATGATTTGGGGGAAATGTGGGAGACTCAAATGCATGAGTCCTTGAAAGGACTTACCTGGTGAAAAGCCCTTGAATATTATCATTTCTCATTCTCACACTAGACCTTTCTCCAGGGTCAGGAAGCTGAGATAAAATTGTCATGGGACACAGAGCCAGAGGCATAGACAGACCAGCCAGCGTTCACCCACCTCCTATTGGGGAGGGTGGGTCTGGCCTGCAGCCTCAGAATCCCACCCTCTGGCCATGTGCTGTAGCGTCTCAGAGAACATGCCAAGAGAGAAGGAAGACATCCAGGGCAGGGACCTTGATCTGACTCTAATGGGTTTTATTCTTCCACCTGGATGTCTCATCTCATGGCATCTCCTAGTTCCCGGGGAGGGGTTGGGAGAAAGGAAAAATCTACTCCTCCTCACTATTTTCCCCAAATACCCCCCTGTCCTCAGAGCTGAGTGACACCCAGCACGTTCTGCTGGCCCAGTCCATTGAGAAGAGGATCCTGCCCCATCAGCGGGAGCTGGTGAGACATTCCAGGGCCAGCATCCACGGGGGCAGGGGGAGGAAGGCAGAGAGAAGAGTGACTCTGAGGAAAGAGAGATGATGCAGTTTCTGCTGGGAGGGGAGACCCCATCCCAGTGTGGCCCCTGGGAAATCCTATGTCCTCTGGAGAGCTGTCAGAGTGGGTGTGAGTCCCTTGGGGGAAACTAGAGGGTCTCAGTTTCCATGGAAACCCTGCAGAGATGCCCACAGTTCTAAATCAGCCACACTGGGATAGAGGGTTTGGGAACTCGGGGGGTCTGATGAATACCCCGCTCTGTGCACACAGCACCCGTCTGCAAATTACTCTTTCTCCCTCCACATGTGTATGCATGCGGGCATGGGAGTATGAACACGCTACCTACACATGCACACATCAACATGTGCACCCACGTCTATAATTCCAAACACCACTGTTCTGCAAGGTGAATGCTAGACCCACCATTTAGCAGCTGAGGAACCAGCACTTAATGGTTTCTAATAACATGTCCAAGGCCCTGTGCTCACAGACACCTCCAGGGTGGGCTCCTGGTCCCCTCGATGCCATGACTTTGCTTCTTCCATATCCTCATGACCCTCATTCTTTGGGGTCCCTTACCAAGATCAAAGATTGACCTTTGACATCTGGAATTGTTTCTTCTAGGTACGGAGCATCCTGGAGCCCAACTTCAAGTACCCCTGGTGCATTCCCTTCACCATCAAACCCCATCTCCTCGCCCCACTGCAGGGTGAGGGTGTGGCCATCACCTATGGGCTGCTGCAGGAGTGTGGGCTGAGGATGGAGCCAAATAACCCCAGGTCCATCTGGGATCTGGAAGCCAAGGAGCCCCTGTTTGCCCTGTTTGTGTCCATGTCGGTCCTGCAGGGGCTAATAGAATCCTGAGCCCCTCTGAGGAAGCGAAACCCCAAGAGTCTCAAGAGTCTTGCCCCATCCGAGGCCTGGGGGGACATGGGGCCTTTCTGAATGGGGATTGTTTGGAACTTGAGGAAAGTTCTGGGTTGGTGGAAATACTCTACATCTTGCTGAGGATTTATTATTGGTCAAAACTCAACAGCATGTTGAATAATCAAACACTTACTATATGTCAATTTTACTTTAAAATAATGGCAATAAATACTAAATGAGAGGCAATATATTTTCCAGTTTGTGTTGGGTGAAGAATAACGAGGTGAGTAACTTACTTTGAAATGCATCCCAAAATAATGTGCTTTGAAAGATATGTGACCAAGGAAAGTAATAAAATATTAAAAATGAGAATTGCTTTTCATTCTTAAAACATTTTGTACATCTGGAATTCTTTTTTTTTAAAGATTTATTTATTTATACAAGAACTGGGGTACAGGCCAGAGGTGCAGGGGGGTGAGAGGACTCCCCAGAGACTAAGTGGGGAACAGAACAGGCAGACTGACTGAAATACACTGCTGAGGGGAGCAGCGGGCGAGACAGGAGAGGTTTGCCGCGCCATATGGGACCCTCGCTGGCCGGCCAGGATCGAATCCGCACTACAGAGGCTGCAGACAGCTTCACAGCACTGCGCTCAACCGCCTGTGCCACCAGGGGGAGGCCCTGGAATTCTTTCAATATGAAAATTACCCTTCAAGAAATTATACTTGTGTTTCAGTCATTGTGAACAACTATTTCTGACTAAGCCTCTTGTGAATATTGTGTAGTTTTTTATCGAGGTAATAGTGCTTTACAACACTGCCTAGGGTCCATAGATACAGTACACACCTCTTCATGTCAATATCTAAGCCACCATGCTATGTCCACACCAACGCACCCTGAACCCTGCCCGCCCCTTCTGGTAACCTCAATGCTGCAGGCAGATTTGTGGTTTTATTTTGGTTTAGTTTTGTCTGCTCCCCTTTTTTATATATATTCCAACTATGAATAAGATCAGTAAGCATCCATCTCTGTCCTTTTGACTTATTTTGCTTGGCATAATCCATTCCAGGTCTATCCATGCTGTGAAAATGGTAAAATTTCATTTTTTATAGCTAACTTACTCCTGTGTGTGTGTGTGTGTGTGTGTGTGTGTTTTGCATCCTGATCCACTCATCTGTTGGACACTTGAGTTGTTTCCAACTATCGCTAGCCTTTGTGAACAGTGCTGCAATAAACACAGCAGTGCATGTAAGCCTTCAAATTAGTGTTTTGCATTCTTCACATAGACCAAGGTCCTGACTTCGCCTTTGGAGCTGTAGATTACAGTCTTCATGTCAGGACATTGTTCTCATGTCACTAAATGCGCTATTTTTCTTCTGGGCTCTCTTTTTCACAACCACCAATCATTTCGTTAAGTCCTCTAAAAAGGGGATGAGGGGCAATCGGCAATTAAGTTTATCAACTGAAAACCAAAGAAACAGTCACCTGCATGACTGAAGGTCGCTTCTATCTTCTTCTCCCTCTGGGCTCCCAAGGGCGGGCAGCCAGGATTGTATCTTCCAGGAAGGAGACAAAATGATTCTTCCCTGGGGACCCCTCTGAGAAAACCTACTCACAGGGCCACCTGCTGTCGCCAAGGAAACAAGGCAGCGGCAGTTCTCAGCTTAGCTGGCACACAGGAATCAACGCGGAGCCTTACAAAATACTGATGTCTGGGCCCCACCCCTGCAACTAGGATGTGATGGTTCTGGGGTGAAGTGGACATTGAGAGATCAAAAGCTCTCCAGGTGATGCCCCATGAAGCCAAGTGGAGCTCACTGCCCCCTAGGGAGCTCTCAGTTACTATTGAGCCCCAAGCTCAGTAGGGACTAGGGACGTGGGGATCCCCGATCTCTCAGGTGGAGGGCGGCAATGAGGGCGGTGCTGGCACTGTTCGTGCTGGTTGGGAAGCGAGGGCCATCCTGGGGGGACAGTACGGTCATCTTGAATCTGAGGGCAAGTTCGGGAGAATTAGGCAGCCTCCAGGACAGTGCAGGTGGGGACCTCGGGAGAATTAAGGCTTCAGAGATAAGGGCAGCAAGAGGAATGTGTTAACCCTGGCCTTGGTTTCCTTCAGGGGATAAAGGACTGTGGAGTTTGGGAAATGGAGAGTGGGTTAACTAGGGCAGCAGACTCATTTATGCCAGGGGGAGATGAGAAGGGTCAGCACGGAGACCGGTGGGCGCCAGCCTGGTTTCCTTCAGTAGCTGATGTTTGACTTTCTCTTCCCTAAAATGCAGGGGTGCTCATCTGGGAGACTGGGCCATAAAGATAAATCTCTCAAACAAGGGGGAAGATGCAACAAATGGGGAAAGACAAACCTGTTAGATAAGGAATGAGAAAATCCCCCGCTCAGCAGCAGATGAAGTGAGACAGCCGAGAACTCACCAATCACAGAGAGACGGGTGGAGCTTCAGAATAATGAGGGAAAGAAGGTCTGTATTCCCTGAGACACGACTCCGCTTTGGCTTCCTTGCCCCTCCCTGGCCTGGTTTCATGGCCTGGGAGTCCCGCTTTATTTCTGTTCCTTTTTCTCCTCAATAAACTTTTACTTTCTCCAAACAAACCTGCCTCTTCTCGCTTGCTTGCCGGAGCGTCTGTGAAGTTCCTGCTGCGGCTTCGTGAGACACCAGCCCGTGGGGGTCTAGTGGCTGGGGCTCAGCATTGCCCTGCAGCCTGGGGTCTGTTCCTGGTGGGAGGCTAGGCCTGACAATTCCGGTATCAATCTCTAAAATTCAGCCAAAGCCAGAAAGTTAGTATGAGTCTACATGACTCCCTGAGGGGAGTGTCTGGGAGAGACGGGTGAGAAGGGACAGCAGGAGGACGCAGGGCCTGGTCCTCGTCCCCAGGGTAGGAAACCGCCTTGTGCTGAGACTGTCCCTAGAGGGGAAGCGTCCAGCGGGATTGTCCATGACGCGCCCGGGATCGGAGCCGGCTCAGGGGACGCCGAGGAACCTGCACCGTCACGAGGAAACTGTGAACTCCCCAGCCCTGGCCGCCCAGCGCGGCGGAGACAGAGTCAGGAAGGGCCAAGTCTGGCCCCGGCCAGAGACCAGCACCCCCTGTCTCGGGCCCCAGTGGGGGGCTGTCTGGGCAAAGCCCCACGAGATGTGGGTCCTCTTAGGATCTGGCCAGTGAGGAGCAGCCGCCACCCTCGGCCACTTCCCGAGGAAGAGTCAGGTGCAGGGACGGCCCGTGGGGGACGAGACTGACTCTGGACCCGGGAAAGGGGCTGGGGGTGTTGAGGGAAGGAGGGGAGGCGAGGCCCCAGTCTCAGCAGGGGGGTCTGGCAGTGTGATCAGGAGATGAGGGACCTGAAGCAGGTGATGGGGAGGCCAGGACAGGAGCCAGCACCGCCTGGGGGAGCCTGGGCTGGACACATGGAGCCCACATTGAGTGAAGGTCCCCAGCAAGGAAGATCCCAAAACAGTCAGCTGCACTCCCGCTAGGGTGGGGGAGTCATGAAGCCTGTGAGCAAGCAAACCAGCCAGTGGCTCATCACCCAGAAAGTCAAACTCAGAGCCAAGATTTATCTTTTCACGGAAGAGCTGATTCAAGGTGGCCACCAAGGCACTCAGTGGGATTGGGACCCTGACACCCAGCTCCCCAAGTGCCAGGAGCCTGTGACTATGTAAGGGGTGCGGGGAGGGAGGGGGTGCAGGATGTGAAGTGGGGAGCTGCACATTTTCAGGTCCAAGGTTGGGCTGTCCAGGCTTCATGGGGGTTGGGGTTTGACACTCTCAGCAGGGAGTGTCTCCTCAGGGTCAAGATCAGGCAACAGCCAACAGTTATCTGTTTTTCATATGCTAACAACCTCCTAGCAACACAGAGGATTTTTGTTACAGGTGAAACACAATCAGTTTTACAAATTCCAGAAATTGCAGCTGGAAAGAAATGCATTATTCACAAGTTGAAGATTAATCACAAGGAGGGTGTGTGTGTGTGGTGGGGGGGGAGAACAAGGGTTGTTTGGAATTTGATGCTTTCAGTCCTAATATTTAGTCTAAGGGAGGTTTTGTTACAAAATGGAGGTGATCCAGGCACAGCCTGACCTCAGATCCCCTGGGGCTAAAGTCCCACTATCTAATCAGCACAGCCATGGACAAAAGGGCCAGGAGCTGCTGGGAGTTGGTATAAGAAGTCATTGCTTAAGGGCAAAGGCCCCTGATGGAGGAAGTGAGAATTTCATATGGTGTTTACAAACCCTAGGAGGAGGGGTTGAGTCCAGATCAACCATCCAATATGCTTGGAGCCCAGATTAGCCCATCCCCCTCCAAACACTTCACAGGTAAAGCCAAGAGGGAATGAGCCTCTAGAGAAAATTGATGGGCTACGGAATTCGGTCATCCATTGATGAAATAATACAACGACTGGTGTCAGCACAGGGTCCGCCTGAATAAAGAACGGGCAGCAAACCACGTGGGGACACGGTCACAGTCCTTGGCGATTCACCAATAATAAGGTCTTGGTGAACAGCAGAGAGAACGAGAGGCCAATGGGAGAAGCCCTGGTCCCTCACCTTTGCCAGTGGGGAGGAAATCAACTCTGAGAATGGGGACAGGCAGGAGCAGTGGGGAGGGTGGAGAAGCCGGGGTGAACACGTGGGGGCTCCTCTCCTTACATGGAGGCACCTGGTGATAGTGCCGAGCCCCTGAGGGACTGGAGGGGCTGCATTAAGCCCCTGTGGCTGCTGCGATTCCAGACCCCAGCCTCGGAGGGGACCTGAAGAGAAGGAGACTGGTGGAGGGGCCAGCAGTTCTCAGGGCCCCTGAGCCCATCCAGGTGAGGAGGGATGAGGCAACAGTTCACCTGAGGAGCAGGTGGGGTTAGGGAGAGGGAGGCGTCCAGGTGGATTCCCAGGTGTCAGCTCAGGTGGGGAGCAGAATTACAAATAGACCAACAGTGCAGTGATCACACAGAAGAGACCAATAGAAGATTCCACAGAGGTGGAGGGAATT